TATATATATATATATGAGTTAATTACCTATATACTGTTAGTGTAAAATTATTTTACACTGACAACCAATCATATCTTTTAATAGTGTCATATCATTTGCTTATTTAATCAACTAAAAATAAAATAAAAATAATTTAAAAGATATGATTGATTGCCAGTGTAAAAAACTTTACATTGGCAGTGTATGGATGATTAACTATATATATATATATGTATTATTTTTTTATAATCGCTTTTCATGAGTAAGTTGGTATACTTACATTCTGATAGAGAGATTCACTTAATCCAAAAGTAAGTTAATACACTTATTTTTTTTTCAATAATTAAAGTTTTCGTTAACTATTTTTAAACGAGACAAATTATAGACAATTTCAGTTTGACTCATTTATTTATCAAATTCAATTTTTAACTCAAGTTCAACTAGTTAATTATTGAATCAAGTTTCAAATTATTTTCAAGTTAGCTAGATTCATCATCACACTTAAAATACAAATATTCTCATTTTTTTATATATATTTAGAATGCACAATCTATGGAAACATATATTAAGTGTCTAGTAATTTATGATAATTTTAGAAAGAAATTGAAATTTAAGATAAATTTAGATCTTAACAAAAACAAAAAAAACTATTCCCTCAATTTTTTATTACGAGCAACAAAATTATGCACATTTTTATTCTTAAATACAACACCTTTCCTTTTTTTATCTCTTTGATTTTTAGTAAATTTTAATTACTCTCGTTTCATTTAATAATACTCTTTTTAAAATATTATTTTTCAATGTATAATATTTTAATTCTACTAAATTTTTTTAAACATTTACAACAATGATAATTTTTAAAAATATTATGAAATCAATAATTTTTTTTTATGGAATTAACTAATTTCCATGATATATCAAAACAAAGAGAGTAATTTTTTTAATCTTCATAAATTAATTATTCGAGTCCTAAGGATCGAAGATAGTAAAAAATTTCAAGTTATATATATATATATATATATATATATATTTTTTTTTTTCCGAGAAATATTCTTTGTCTGTATATATGAATAATTTTT